CTTTCAAAAAAAAAAAAAAAAAAAACAGTCGACTCACAAATTAAAGGCAGGTTTCGGAATTGAAAAGGCAATGCACTTAGATATTATCCAAAAAAAAATTCAATCAAGGAAGATAAACAAGCAAACAAACATTCTTCGGAATTTTAAACATCAACGCTTTGCTCAAAAGCGATTAAATAATTCATTGTGCGAAAAGTTTCGTGCTTCTATGAATAGTACGCAATGCAATGCAACTCGATTCATTTAAAATTATGGAGAATGATTAAATTTTTCATCCAATAAAAACAAAATTGGCGTGATTAATCAGTGTGCAGAAAGAGAAAAAGCTTCATACTATATGTTTGAAGGTCGATGATTCAGCGAGAGTGGAAGAAAAGAAGTTGCTTACGTCTCGATTCTCTCCCTCCACCCCACGCTCTGCTCAGTGTGTAGTCCCCAACCTCTGCTTCTGAAAGGAGGAAGAAGTTAAAGAGAGTGGAGAGAGAAGTGTTGTTCTGCTAATTATTTGACTCGAGTCACGCGGAAAGTGCCCAAGCTAAATTACCAAAACATTCTTCAAGTGTGTTTGGTATGTTTATGGAATATCACTTGTAATTTCTTTTTATTACCCAAAAAAGTTATAGGCCTGAATGTAATCCTTCATTTTTAGTGGTCTTAATCTTATGCAATACAAATCCCCATAATTTATAGGGAAAGTTTCGCATATGAACAATTGAGCTCACTGCATTTTAATTTTATAGCTCATATTTTAATTTACAATCAACTAATCTAAAAATAATAGGCTAAGATTCAACATTCAATTTCAATAGGTTCTAGAAATTACTATTTGATTTTTAAAAAAGATTGCTTAAGCTTTTAAGTTAATTTTTGAATCAGTAGTTGTGACTCAAATATTAGTTTAACAAACCAAATCTATTTGGATGGTGAAAATTAAATTCTTAACAAACTTAAATATGTGGGTTTAAATTTCGAATCTGATTTTGTGAGAAATTTGAAGTGGGTGTTATTTAGACTTGTTAGAAATAGTATAAGGAGGTTTGTGAGCAGCTTATTTTTGACCATGTTTGAATTTATTCCTACTTTTCTCTACTCACTACTCACTTTCCCCACTCACTACCCACTTTCCCCATTTTCCCCACTCATGTTCCCCACTCTCCCCACTTTCTCCACTCACTACCCACTTTCCCCATTTTCTCCACTCACTACCCACTTTCCCCACTTTCTCCACTCACTACCCACTTTTCCCACTCATGTTCCTCACTCTCCCCACTTTCCCCACTTTCTCCGCTCACTACCCACTTTCCCCATTTTCCCCACTCGTGTTCCCCACTCTCCCCACTTTCCCCACTCATGTTCCCCACTCTCCCCAAAAAATATTTCCTCCACCCACTCTTCATCATTCTCTCTACCTATAACACATACATCAAGACCTCACCTTAAAAAAATATATATATAAAATGGCGCATTTTACAAGGGAGCTCTCTTCTTCTTCTTGGATTTTTTCTCCAAGCAACAGACAAATACAATAGATCTCACCCTTTCTTCCCAAGAAAAAACGGCCGCACACACTCATTTTACAACGGAAGCTTCTCTGAAAATGCACACCTGAATTCACACCCAACATTTGAGAGACTCACTTTGAAAGTTCTTCACACTCAAAAAAAACTGAAAGCAAAGGCTTCAAAATTCAAAATTTTCAGTTGGATTCGGGTAAAGGTTTGTTGCTCTGTTGCTACTGTTGAAATTGCTTCTTGAGCTCCTCATGTGATTTGGATTCTGCTTTTCTTTGGCTTATCTCTTGGTGTCCGCTTAACTCTGTTAGGTCAGTCCCAAATCCTTTGTATTATGTTTTGCTAAATGGCTATATATAAAGTTATTGAATTCCTTTTAGATTTTTGGATTTGCTCAAAAATACGATTTCTGCTATTCTAGTGTGTCATGGACGAATGTTTGGTTTCCATTTGAATAAAATAGTGTAATGAATCGAAAAATGTTAAACTTTAGATTAAATGTTGACGAAGTAAATGCTGTAAAGATTTTGGAATCTATTATTTGCTTTGGGAGTCTTTACTCATTTTCTTTAATTTCCACTTCTTGTCATCGAGGAAGAGAGTAAAATCCAAACAAATTTGCTCTTAAATCGAAGATCTGATGGCCAACAATAGTTATCTTTTAATAGCAAACAAGCCGTAAATTATAGTCTATACTCCACTTTCAGAAATAAGATAAGCGGCATCATGAGGTATATAGTTTTTTTTTTTGTAGCAAAAATATAAAGATATATAGTATCACATGTTTTAACTCGTAGGCATAATGATTCCTCAATAGTTTGTTAATGAGTTGTTTGTGCACTCCAGCTTTTACCACCGCAATCTACTTTATTTATTTGATTAGTTTAACGTCAAAATTTGCCCCCTATCCTCTCTGCCTCACGTTTTCTTGTTCTTGAACTTTTTGCCTCCTGATTTATCCAATCCTTTTTTTACTAGTCTATGTATTTTCATGACTTGTACATTAAGTTACATAAGTCGAGCAAATTTAAATATATATCTTCCTTTTTTTACAAAAACTTTTGAAGTATGTATATGTTCGTGTATGTATAAAAGAGATAGAAAACGCAAGCTAAAAAAATAGAAATTGGCTTGAACTTTCGTAGTTTACTTTAGGTGCGTTAATTGAATAATTGTCATAGCTACGGGTACAGTTCCCGTAACGTAGTTTGTGACACCTGGTTACTAAAATCCGGGGGTACAGTTATGTGACCCGGCCACAATTTAATCTTTAAAAAAAAATTAAACATGTTGTAGATCGTGAGTACGGTTCTCGTGACATGATTCACAATATGTAACAATAATTAAATAAAAGCGGTTATAAGGTAAAATTGCACAATAGTTTAAAACATGTATTAAAATCAGATAATATGCCAGTTATAATAGTTTAAGCGACCGTGCTAGAACCACGGAATCCGGGGATGCCTAACACCTTCCCCCGGGTTAACAAAGTTCCTTATTCAGAATTTCTGGTTCGCAAACTTCAAAAAAGAAAGTCGAAATTTTCCTCGATTTGGGATTTAAAATAAATCGGTGACTTGGGACACCAAATAAACTATCCCAAGTGGCGACTTTGAACAAAATTGAATAAATTAATCCCATTTCGAATAATGTCACTTTAATTGGAAAAACTCCCTTATACTATCTTCGGGTGTGTAAAAAGGAGGTGTGACAAGGTTGTATATAAAATTTGAAGTCATTTAATGGAGATTTGGACTGGTTTTGAACAAGAATTGCAATTGAAAATTGTGGAAGAAGTTCGTCTATAGATGCTTGTATAAAGGTGTATAAAAGTGTATAATAGTGTATAAGATATGTTTATACACTCATATACACTATTATACAAAAACTGACTTCGTCTTCTTCCTTGCATTTTTTCTAAAATTTAACTCAAATCTTGCTCAAATATACTCCAAATCACTTCAAATTAAAATTTTGAACTCTTTTTGATATTTTCAATCAATTGGAACAACACACAATCCAAACAACTAACAAACCAAAAAAAAACTTATTTTCGAAAGCAAAGCTTTTAATGGCCTTCAATGGTGGACTTATACTCTTCAATTTTCTTACATTGCAACCAGATGACACAGGATAAGAAGCAGCAATGGCGGACGACCCCTTGAAGCATATGTAAAATATGTGAGAAGAAGAGAGAGTGAAAGCAATGGTTGTGAGAACACATATTTAACTCCATAGTTTTTAGAAGCAATGGTTATAAGAACACAAGTTTTGAATTTGCTAGTGCTTTAAAAATATGTACAATATGGGCTAAGTTGGGTAAAATTTAAAAATATGAGCCATTTTTTGTTATGATGTGAAGTCATATGTATTTTCTTATAATTCTTTCTAATTTATAGTAGAATTTGGACGCCAGATTTATATAATATAAAAATAAAAATTATGTATATATTTTAAAAAATATTTTGCTGAAAAAAATTGACGGAATAATCAAACAGACATTCGTATTGCACGGGATTGTCTTTCTGACCCCCTCGACTCCATGTCATTCAAACCAGATTCTTTATTAGGGGTGTTTATAAAAATCCGAAAAATCGAACCAAACCGAAAACCAAACCAAACCGACCAAAAAAATCGTTACTTTTTGGTTTGATTTGTTTTTGGTTTTGAATTTTAAAAACCGATCAAATTTGATTTGGTTTTGGTATTAATCAGAAAAAAACCGAACCAAACCGACTATATGAGTAACTATTTCAAATTTATTATTACACCTATATATATGTATATTGTTATACAAAATTTCCAAAAATTTATGGTAAATGTTAATAGTTTGCACTTTTAAAATAGTTCTTTACCTTTACATTCTAGTTTGATTGGTAGTTTTCTTTTGTTTAGTGTAAGAATCCATTTCATGTTAAAATAACATATTTTAATTGAGCCCTTAAATTATTCATCACTATTTGATTCAATTATCATCAATATATTTTGGTAAATAATAGATTTCTCAAAGGGCAATTGATTTGATAGTGTTACATTGAAAATGTGGTCGCCGGAATATGTGTTTGGTAGTGTATGTCTTATATTTAAGAAAAAACCGACAAATAATCGAAAAAACCGAAAAACCGACATAAACCGAATCGAGAAAAACCGACTTAATTGGTTTGATTTGGTTCTAATATTTGAAAAGCCGACTTACTTGGTTTGGTTTCTTTTTAGGGAAAAACCGATCCAAACCGAACCATGAACACCTCTATTCCTTATGTTGGTTGAAACTATGAGCCCATTTGGATTGACTTAAAAAAAGTGGCAAAGCAAATTTTAAGTGCTAGAGCTTATTTTACAAATAAGCAGTTATTTGTTTGGATAAAAATGTTGAAGCTTAAAAAAAATTATTGAATTATTTGGTAAACAAGTGATGGTAAGCTCTTTTTCTTTTAAAAAGACAAAAATATCCTTAAGTTGTTAACATTATAAAGGAGCTGATTACTACAATATATTTAATTATGAATTAATGCAAATAAAAAATAATTTATATTTTAATTTAATTTCAATTTAATTGATTAGTTTAGATAGTTTTTATAAATATAATTCTTGAATGCTCATTTTTCACCACTTTCAATCAAGTAAACTTCCATAAAAGTCTCAACAATTACAATTATCAAGCTTTACAAATTTCAGTAGCAATCAAATTACAAATTTCATTTCTTCATTTCCGCCAGACAACGCATGACAGTTACAAGCTAGAAAACATACACATACTGCAAGAATCCACAAAGTATATATTAAAATCAATGTTGCCTACAAATATAGGAAATTAGTGTTGTTCTATGATGCATATAATAATAGAAACATAAACTAAAGCTAACAAACAATGAGCAACTCGACGAAACAATAATTGAAGCTTACACATAATATTTTGTGTCATGTTTGTTCTTTTGTCCTAAGAAATTTAGAAAACAAAGTATGCATTTAAAATTGGCATTGAGTGATTACAATTGGGTGTGATGCTTGAGAAAAGTGCAGAAAATAAAGATGAAGCAGAGAGGAAGGGGAAAAAAGAGGAACGACTCAAGTGAAGGAAATAGGAGAAATAGATGTTTTAGGGTTTCTGAGGGTAATTTTGGTATTATGAAAACTTATAATGGACAAGAAAATAATTTTTTTGGTCAAACTAAAATGGCTTTTAAGCCAAAATCGGAAAAGTTGGGGCTAACCAACTTGTTGCTTTTGATTTTTTAAAGCATATTTTAACTTTTTTTAAGTATTTTTTTTTGCCAAACACTTCCAAAACTAAAAAAGGACTTAATAAGCTGGTCAAATCAGCTTTTAAGCCCATCCAAACACGCTGTATATATGTCTCTAATGGTTGACCGACTTTATGTGGAGTTGATATGGCTAATCTGAACAAATTCATGGTACACATGCATTTAAAGAGCGTCAATGGTGGGTTTTTTTTTTATATAAAAAAAAGTGAGAAAAGCCTAGCTCGAGGGGTCTTAATGAGTTCCAATTATTATTTTTTACTGATTTTTGTCATTTCCCCCGTTCCAACTCACACCATGCACTTGTAATTATATTTTAATCACTTTTCTACCCTCATATGGGTCCATATATATATATATATATATATCTCAGTTTTACATTAATTACATTGTTAGGGCTGCAATTAGTTAAGGAATTTTGGCATGATGTGACAACTTACCTACATAATTGGCAGGAAAAAACCACGGTTATAGATATTGGCACCAGATAGCCAATAAATGTATATCACAACAAGAATGTGTATATCGTAATATTTTCCTTCTTTGTGTATATCAAAATATATATTAATTTTTCCTTCTTTGTATATCTAAAATATAAATAATAAATATAGTTTTTTAAAATTTATTATTATCTCTATATCAATGTATATCATAACAAAAATAATTGCATTGGTTGTATATCACAGTATATAATACATTAAATATGTGTATACCAAAATGGACATCACAAATTTATGTTTCTTCTTTGTGTATATCAAACTGTACGTATGTCAAAGTTTTATTTTTATTCTTTATATATTATAATGTATATCAAATTTATTTATTCCCACGATTATATTTATTGTTTTATAGTTTAGAACTTGCTATAAACCTATTATATCAACAAAACAATGTGATATACACACATGCATACATGGTGATATACATAGATGTACACCACCTCAAACACACATATTTTTATCTTACAGTGAGACAAAAGGGAAAAAGAAGAAATTGAAATCTGCCGCTTGAAAAAGAAAGAGAAGAATGGCGAAATTCATTAGTACGAGAATTTACACCTAAGATATGTAAATATAGAATGCGAAATATGATCCGGCACCGGCAATCGCACATTGAATTCTCATAATAATTAGTGCGAGAATTTTTTGTGACATGCGGTAGACTTCAGCCGTATCTTTGGAATTGAAACAACACACAAAAAAAACCCCAAAAATCCTTACCCTAACTTCGTTTGAGATGCAGACCAAGTTCTGCAAGGAAACTTTATAATTCTATTTTTTCTTTTACTTCAAGACCTTATAATTCTATCAAAACTAATTCCCACACACAATATTAAAGGCCCCAAGTAAGATTATTGAAATATGGGAAAAGAAAAGAGAAGAAGATTGAAGAAGAATATTGGAGAGAAGAAGAAATACGGGGAGAGAGAACAAATAAGAAACTAGGGTTTTTTTAGAATTTGGCTATATAATGCCAATTTTTTTAGGTTATCTTTGCCAAATTTAATACAAGGCTAAAAAATTGCCAATTTTCTTTATGGGTTGTCATACTATGCCATTTTTTCATTAGTTTAATATGTTATTACTAAGGTTTAAATTTAAGGAGCTTTATAAAAATCACCCTTAATGATTTTTGTATTGAAATATATGCACATATTTTTGGTTATAACGACTAATGCAATTCAGTTACTTGTCACTTGTAACATTCTTTTTCTCTCGTATGACTCAATTCTTGTACGTCATTCTTTTACCAAAAATAATATTAAAAAATGAGGTTAAGAAAAAAAGGTCTTTTCAACGGAAGCTAAGAATAAAGAAAGCATTGGCCGGGCTCAACCTGCATTAGAAGTTGAGCTCCCTAAACAAATATTATGACCAACCTAAAGACCATTGCTCTAAGGTTCGCTTGGTATGAGACATAAGGTGGGATAAGATGTAGGATTAAATTTATACCTTATTTGGTTGGAGGTATAAATTTTTTCTGGGATAAATTTATACCGCCAACCAAATAAGGTATAAATTTAATCCCAGACTTAATCCAAGATATACCATCTTATCCCGACTTATCCCATCATATATGAGATTATTTTATCTCATCTCTCATGTGATATAAATTAATACTAGTATTATAATAAATTCGAGATAATTTAGTCCGTGTACCAGACGACCCTAGAGTTTGTAAAAAAAACAGTAGGGTAAAATTTTCCATCTTCGGATTATGAAAGCAAAAAATAGGGAATAAGTGCAAAACCTTTTAAAACAGAAACAAAATATAAATAATGCCCTTAAAAAGTTATATTTGGCAACCCGAGCTAATAATTAATTCAAATTGTATTAATCATAGTTATGGATGTCACACCTCCTTTTTACACACCCGAGGGTATATAAGGGAGTTTTCCAATTTAAGTGACATTATTCGAAATGAGATTAATTATTCAATTCAGAGTCGCCATTTGGGATAGTTTATTTGGTGTCCCAAGTCACCGATTTATTTTAAATCCCAAATCGAGGAAATTTCGACTTTCCTTTTGAAGTCTGCGAACCAGAAATTCTGAGTAGGGAATTCTGTTAACCCGGGAGAAGGTGTTAGGCATTCCCGGATTCCGTGGTTCTAGCACGGTCGCTTAAACTATTACAATTGGCTTATTATCTGATTTTTAAAACATGTTTCAACCTATGGTATATTTTTAACTTATTAGCCGCTTTTAATTAAATAAAATTTTGGAAAAATTCAACGTCATATAAAACACGTATTGAACCATGTCACATGAAATGCACCCGCGGTCCACGACACATTTTATCTAACGTTGTTGAGATTTAGATTTGGGTCACATAAAATGCACACCCGAGTTTAGGAAATTATTTTTTTTAAAAAAAATAACGCGCCTAAAGCAACTACGCACTTTCAAGTTTGCGAGGGCCATGGAAAATTCAACTAAATGGCACGCCTCGATTTCTAAGGATTAAAATTAATTAAATGAGGGCCATGAGTTTTGAGATTTTATTTGGCATGGCGCGTCTCGATTATTCTAAAAGGATTGTATTCAATTTAAAGCAAACTACAAATATTCATGATTATGGTACTTCCTAAAACTACTTTGAGATTATTGCAATGTCATGATTTATGAATATGGAATTATTATTGAAGAAATATATGATTTGAGTTATTATGGACTTAATCACCCATGTCGGTATCAAATTTGCTATTGACTTAACATCCTTTAATTTGGATCCAAGCTATTACATCGTTCTCTCTCCATTTTTGATACATTTTTCTATCTTTCCCTACGAACTGCAATCTCATTGAAGAAACTCATTCTGTCTTTCACGAATTCTATTTCTTGATGCTCTTCATTCATTTTTTTTTGTTCATATCTTTCAAGTTGGTAGATAACCAAAATATAATATACAAATCAAAAGGAAATACGGTGAAAGAAAAATAATGGAAACATTGGTTAAGAAAAGAATGAACCCTTTATAGATGAAGATCTTATTCAATACATATGGAGCAAACACCCATCAATTTTAATGTGCAAATGAACCACAATCAGAGGCAACGAGCGGAAACCTTTCGAACCGAACTCGACTTCGACCTCTTCGGGCTAGTATTTTGGGCTATCTTTTAAATTGAGTTTGAAGCTTTTGGATTTGATTTTTCGTGTGATTTAGCTCCTGTTTTTTAGGTATTTTTTTTTAAACAAGGTAATGAATGGCTATATGTTTTTTTTTGTTGTTGAAAGAAATAGGTAAAAAGAATAAAACTAATAGAAATTCTCTTTAGCATAGAAGAAGAAAATTTGTTTTCTCTCAATATTCTTCCCTCTTCTCTTTTCTCTTTTTCTTCAAATATTTCTCTTCTATTTATAGGAGAATTTTTAAAAAATTTCAGCCCTTTTTTATTTTTTTTATTTTTTTATTTAAAAGAAATCCCACTTACATTTTGCTTTTCTTTTTTTATAAAAAGAATTATCACCTTTCTTTACTTTTATTTTTTAAATTCCAACTTTAATTACTTTTATCTTATTTTACTTTTTTTAAAAGAGAATTCCACTTATTTTACTTTTCTTAAAAAAATAATCCACTTTCTTTTACTTTTCTTTAAAAAATTCTACTTTATTTTAATTTAATTTTTTTAAAATTTTCAGCTACCTTTATATTAATTTTTAATTCCAACATTCTTTTACTTTTTATTTTTAAAAATTTCCACAACACTTTACTTTTATTTTTAAAATTTTTCACTTTCTTTTACTTTCTTAAAAGAGAATTCCACCTACTTTTACTTTTTTTTTTAAATTCCATACTTCTCTTTTTCTTATTTTTTTAAATCTCTCCCGAATTTTTTTTAAAAAAATTAATATTTTTCGGATTTTTTATTATTATTTAAAAATAAGAATAAAAATAAAATAATATTAATAGTAATAATTCACCTTCTAAAAATTTGTATTTTTAACCTATAATAAAAAGTATAACAAAGCTAAAAATTTGAATGTTAAAACCCCCTAAAATATTTACATAGAAGAAGTGACAAAAAAATTAAATATTGTCAAAAATTAGGTGCTCACAGTGGATTTAACTTATTAATACAAAAAAATAAATTTAAATACTAACGGAACTCACTCACAAAGTAAAGTTCCGGATCCAGTAAACTCGACTGAAGGACTTTCCGACGACCGACTCATAATTCGCACCGCACTTCTCTTTAGTTTGCAGCTAAGCAATTTCTTACCGTATCAGAAGGTATATTCTTCGTCCTTTATGTTTTATCTATTTTTCTTATCTTCTGTGTGTCTGGCCTGATAGAGGATGTCATGAACTTTAGAGTAATTTGTTGTACGGGGATTTTGGATCCATTTGATTAGTTCACTTACTGAATTTATGACTTATTTCCTGAATTCGTGCCAACCACTCTGTATAGTATTGATTTGGAAACTGAATTTGAGCTTTTTTCTATTCCCTCTGTTTCGAAAAAGAAAAATTTAGGTTTTTTTTTTGTTAATAGATGAAATCAGAGAGAGTCGAAACCAACGAGGATTGAGACAAACCCTAGACAGAACTATCCAGAGAGGAAGATACTTTTGGGAGAAATGTAAAATGTTATTTCCAAAAAAGAATTCGTTCCCTATTACATTGTAAGTTGCCTAATATGTACATAATACAATTGGGCCGGATCCTTTGATAGTCCTAAAGTTTGTAAAAAATGGTAGGGTAAAATTTTCCATCTTCGGATTATGAAAGCAAAAAATAAGGAATAAGTGCAAAACTTTTTAAAACATAAACAAATTATAAATAATGCCCTAAAAATAGTTATATTTAGCAACCTCAGCTAATAATTAATTCAAATTGTACTAATCATAGTTATGTAACTTAACCTATTAATACAAAAAAATAAATTTAAATACTAAAAGAACTCACCCACAAAGTCTTGGGCGTGTTAAAGTTCCGGATCCAGTAAACTCGACTGAAGGACTTTCCGACAATCGACTCAGAATTCGCACCGCACTTCTCTTTAGTTTGCGGCTAAGCAATTTCTTACCGTATTAGAAGGTATATTCTTTGTCCTTTATGTTTTATCTTTTTTTCTTATTTTTTGTGTGTCTGACCTGATAGAGGATGTCATGAACTTTAAAGCAATTTGTTGTACGAGGATTTTTGATCCATTTGATTAGTTCACTTACTGAATTTATGACTTATTTTTTGAATTCGTTTCAACCACTTTGTATAGTATTGATTTGGAAACTGAATTTGAGCATTATTTTCGTATTCCCTTTGTTTCGAAAATGAAAAATTTAGCTTTTTTTTGTTTGTTAATAGATGAAATCAGAGAGAATTGAAACCAACGAGGATTGAGACAAACCCTAGGCGGAAATATCTATAGAGAGATACTTTGGCAGAAATGTAAAATATTATTTCAAAAATGAATTCGTTTACTATTGCACTGTAAGTTGTCTAATATGTACATAATATAATTTGGCCGGATCTTTGATGGGCCAGAATAAGAATAATATAGAGCTACTTTCATTAATAGCACACTATTAAAAATATAATACAAAAGATTAGCATTAATTAATGATTAACAAATATGGAAGTAAAATATTTATATATATAGCAGATTTAATTCAATTCAAATCAACAAGAATCAAGCTGTTTAAAAAGGCAGTCCTAGTATTTAATATATTTCCCTGCTTTTTCTCTCCATTATATACCATGTTTTATACTATTTTTTTTTAGAAACCAAACCATTCCATAATAGATTTTTCCTTTCCATACATGGACCTTTTTATATAATGTAATGTAGCAAATTATACATCTTTATATTCTAACAAAATAAAATACATATATTTACGAAAAAATTATAATGTATGTTGTGGTGTATATACATTATAAATCATATATTGTTTTAGGAAAATTCATATATATATATATATATATATATATATGCATATGTTGTTTATATATGTCTTTATATTTAATTATATATCATCGATCCATTCCATAATAATTTTTTTCCTTTTTACACATGGACCTTTTTATTCAACTTAATCCTAGCAAAATTATATATTTGTATATTCCAATGGAATAAAATACATATATTTCGTGAAAAAAATATAATGTATGTTTATGGTATATTATAAATCATGTATTTTTTTAGGAAAAATTATGTATATATGCATATGTTATTTATACACTTATTTATATTTAAAGAGATTATAAATATGCCATTTATATTTTGCACTAATATAACATGCATATTTGTACAAATTATCCGTATATAAATAGTATATGCGACATATTTTTCTTCTTCTATATACATATTAGTGGCATACTAATATTTTAAATTAAATTTTATGTAAGGTATATGCTAGCAATATACTTTGAATAATATCAATATAATAATGTAGTATGATGTATATATAAGTTATATATGTGATATATATGACATATTGATGGAATATTTACATTGTAAATTATCACAATATAATATACTTGAAATATGTTAAATGTATATTTTTAGTTAAAATAAAATTGTACAGAAAAAAGTTTAAAATAAAATTGTACAGAAAAAAGTTTAAAACTCAAAAAAGAAAGAAATACTAAAATTCTCATTGTGTAGAGAGATTATTTATGAGATATTCTTCTTTCAGAATCTTTGATATATTTGGGTAAATGTTATTTATGAAAGAGAAAAAAGAAGTTATAGAAGAGTGAGAGAAAAGGAAATATAGTAAAAAGTGTATTAATGTAGAGGGATCCAAGTTAGTTAATGGAGTTATCAAAATGAAAGTGCTAAAAAGGTAAAAAAAAAATGCTGTTTTTAAAATAAACAAAGTCTACTATCATTTATGATAATATTTTTTAAAAAGGGACCATGTAAAAATCTCAACAATATATAATTACAATATGGCCGGCCCATTCTAACTACTAACTTCAGCTCCAACATTTTTAGAACAAGAGTGAGGGTTAAATCATATATAATCTTGAATTGGACATCATTAATTGTTGGAATATAAAATTTACATATTCAAAACCTTAATAAGAAAATATTTTTATATAAACCAAAATATTTTAGGATTAAAATTTATTTAAAATGTATGAAAAAATTTGAGTCGAAGAAAAGCCGATGACTTACCGAATAGTAATTGTCATAATTTTAGATTATCTTGCTTCGAACCGAGTGACAATTTAAGGGTGAGTATAAAATCCGAAAAACTTAATTCCGAATCGAACCGAATTAATTTGGTATTTCGGTTTCGATTTTTTTTGATATTTCGGTACAAAAATTACAGTATTTCGGTAGTTCGATCCAGTATTGGATTTCTGATTACCAAAATACCGAAATAGTTTAGTCCAAGCCCAACTTTATTTTTACTTTTTAGCCCAATAACCTTAAGTTCATACCCCAAAAGTCCAAAACCCCTAATTACCTAATTCCTTACACTTAGGTTTATAACTTGTTTGACCAAATATTTGACTAAATTTTTAGAAGGAAAAAGTACTTCTCGAACGATAAGTTTTTAGAAGGAAAAAGTACAATTTTTTAGAAGCTTATCTCCGAAACACTCTTTTGAGAATTTTTTTTAAAAAAATATAATTACAACCATTTTTTAAAGGCTTGATCAAACATTAATTAATCAAAATTGCTTTTCAAATCAATTATGCAAACACAAATAGCACAAAAAACACTTATTATTCTTAAAAGCAGACAAGAATTTCAAAAAACCCANAAGTCCAAAACCCCTAATTCCCTAATCTCTTACCCTTAGGCTTAGACGCTTAGTCGCTTAGAGCAGACAAGAATTTCAAAAAACCCACACGACTTTGCTTGGTTGCTGCGGCGGTCGGATTCACGAGTTACGACTCACGACTACAACCTCGGCGACGGCGACTCCTACCTTCGGCGATTGTTTGTTTGCTCATTGTTGACCTTCATTCAGGTTCATAACTTCTCCATAAGCTATAGCCTCGTCAAATAAGCTATAGATATCTCAAGAATTAACTGATTGAAAATAAAAGAGTTATTGCATGAAATTATATTAATGATGGTTCTGTGAGTATTATCATTGTTGCACTTGTTAATGGGCTTCTTTGTTTTGTGAGATAAAGTGCCCCTGTTCCTATTCGGTCATAGCAAGAAATTATGTGCTTCTGATCTTCCTTGACCACTTCGATACTTGAAATAGGGAACCGTATATAAAACTCGCCCAAATAATTGAATGTGTAAAATCATGAAAAACGAAGTTGATAATAAGTAGGTTAAGGTAGGGCATACTAGAACTATGATTGCGCTTAGTATTCTTGTATCTAGGGATGAATCTATATGATGCAAAGGAGCTATTAATTTGTGACAGTAGTTTCAGATATATGAATGAATAGCCTGATGTTTCACGTCAACCTATAAATTGACAAAAGTTGCTTATTAGATAGCATAACAGAATAGGCTGGTGTTCTAGCTATTTGACAAAGTAATAGGTGAATAAGAACCTAAGAAGATGCAGATTAATGCATCAAGTCTTAGTAGTATTTCAGATGTACTTGGTTAGTGGTTGTTACTACTCGTTAGTGGTTGTTACTATCTTAGCTTGCTGTGATATTTATTTACCTCTTTTCCCTTTCAAGTACTTGTTGTGAATGTGATAATCAGGTGTGCATCTGCCATGTATGTGCTGCTGTATGTTGTTAGGCAGATTTGAATGTTTCTTACATGCCTTTTGTTAGGCAGAATGGCAGATTGTTAGGCAGAATGGTCTTGTTTACTTGTTAGTGGCTGTTTCTGGCTTTATGCTTGCTTAATGCTTAGGCTCTTAGCACTTAGCAGTACGTGACACATGAATATGTATTAAACCGAAACCGTACCGAAATACTTTGGTACGGTATTTGGTATACACAATTGATAAACCGAATACCGAAATTCTTAAATACCGAATCGAAGTACCGAATGCCCACCCCTGTCCAATCGTGGATTGTTTAGTTTGATCGACTACCTTAATTCAGCAGGCAAAGAACTAGTGATGGAATTTTGCAGACGCCTTGAACTTGAACTTTAGTGCCTAGACCTCAGAAGTAAGGAGATGGAAAATTGGATGTTCTAGGGCTACAAGGTGACTTCAAGCTCTTTCACCCTTTTTTTTGTAGCTTTGCTATTGGTTTTAGTCTTATTTTAATCATCTCAAGGACCTATCATGTTTGCGCTTTTACAAGCTCAGTTGTTTCAAAGTTACCTATCAAAAAAAAAAAATCAGTTGTTTTAGAGTTGGTTGCTTCTCTTTTTCTGGGTTCATCTAGCTGTGCCGTCTTCTTTCTTTTCCTTTTCATGTATCTCGAAACAAAGTTCTCTATTATGTTCTCCATTTCTCATATCATGAAATAGTATACCATTTTACCTAGGAAAGAAAAACTTAGAAACTGCTTCTTTGATTTAATTAAAATTTCCAGTATGTTCCATTCCTTTCAATTAATAGGTTTCGAATGATGAAATCATTTTCATTATCCAAATAAGGGATTTCAATTGCCAAGAATATCATACCCTTAAATTTAAGATTCATGAGTTGTAATCCTCTTTGTATATCCAGATTCCATCATCCAAATGTTACCCTAATGAACTTCTCCAATCAATAACTGCCGATGCATATTAGACTACTCCAAGTTGGTTCCAGGTGCCAAGCTAGAGTGCCTTAACTCTGGTCCAGCTTATATTATCTAAGCCCTGACTCGAGATGTTTCCTTTTTCATAATTTTTCATCCCCTTAATAACTGTTTTTTTTAATTAGGAGAAAATGATGTGAACTGATTTCCATGTATTTCGATTATTAGTACTCATCCTTTATTATTTGCTTCTAGCTTTGGAGTTCGCTGACCTAGTTGTTCCCTATAGTTCTTCATGTTAAGTATCTATTAACCTTTTGAAAGCTCTTGCAATAATTATAGCTATCTTGAAAATAGTAGTCATTCTTTATAACCTGGCACTGGCATTGAGTTTGCTGACCCGTTTGATCCCTTGAAGAATAATTTGACAGTCTCACTCTCTCTCACACCTGAGTGTTTGTATTTCATTTATTATTATGTTTGTTGCTCCCATTTGCTTCTCCTTTTCGAGCATTGTTTCTGCAAAATAGTTTTGTATTTGGGGGTTTTGGTCTTCTTTTTTTCTTTTTCAAATTGTTTTATTTCAGTGGTCCTACTTTTCTTTCGTATCTAAGTGAACTTACACTTTTTGCTATTGGAGCTAGTTAGGCAATATGAAGAGCGATCCAAACATCCAATGGATCAGTTTTGATTTGCTGCATAGAAGCTATATAATGCTCTCTCATTCATCCAATTTAGAGACATTTTTGGTGTTAGGGAGTGGTGGCAGTTTCCAGAACGATTCCGATCTATAGTCCCTACAGTGTCTTCTTTCCTTCAAAATTGTGCTAGTTTTACATGATCTTCTGGGACTTCTAAGGCTGGGTATCTTGGTTTTAATCATTGATCTGATTGCTAAGCTGGACCTTACTATGAAGCAAAAATTATGAACTTTGATCATTTGGTAAAATGATAATTAAATTTTTAGTTTTCTCTTTTACTGATCGAATAAGATGGTTTTGAATTTCTTCTAGCTTTGCTGTGCGATCATTGTATTGGTCAAATGTCTCTGTACCAGTGAAAGAAAAAACTAAAATAGAAAGGATTCCTGGTGTAAATTTTGAAAGCACTATGACAGCTAGAATTCTAATATTTTGATTATCAGCAGCAACAACTAATACTACAACGTCACAATTCCAAACTTGTTGGGGTCGGCCATGTGAATCATCAATATCCCTTCAGTTTTATTTGGTCTCTTTTTGATTCCAATAATAATTTGTCTTTTAAGATATATTACGGTTTCTCTAACGTTTGAGGTATTTTTAGTCATAAAATTATGAAATTTGATACGGGACAAAACATCCAGATGCGATAACAAAAGGCATATTCGTGAACAATTGTTTATATATTCTCCAGAAACTGCTTAGTGGGTCATTTAGTTGATACCAGCCTTAATGCTCAGCCTAGATGGATCATGGAATCAACTTTTATTGCTTTCTTATTGTTCTATATACCTGCTGTACTACGAGAAATATCTCTTTCATATTTCTCTGTCTTTGGAATTCCCTGTTATACATGGTTTCTCTATTTTCTTACTGTTTGAGTTTGTTTTACTTCCTCCCTTTCTACTGTAGTTCATGACGAGAAATTCACATTCTAATACGTGTTTCCCTTGCTCCAGTTTTAGCTGATGGGCTTTGGGAATAGAGGAATCGTTGGTGACAAATGGTCAGGGAGGCTTTTATGGGTCTGTGCAATTGGGAGTGCAATTGGTATGGCTATCAATCTTCTTTGAGTTTTTCTTAGTCAAGGGATTTGTTATTTTAAGCCTGTAATAATCTGGTAGATTAACAAATTATCTAGTCTGTCAAAACTTAATAATGTCATATGTAAGAAATCTCCACATATTAATTGATGATCCACAACGAAAGCTCTTTATTAAGCTAGAAAGTACCTACTTGACTGCCAGTGCTAAGTGCTTATCTTATTCATCCAAAAACTGTTGCATGTGATGTTCATCAACTGATGGTATCTGTCAAAATTCGAAAGGGTTTTGCTCTATTGGGAAAAGAGCTTATAGAAACATCCTGTCGAGTAAAAGAATGTCAACCAGTCAAAACGTAGAGAAGTTTTTTCTAGGTTACTGAAAAATTGTTCTTCAATGCCCTATGTTGTAATTTGTTTTAAAATTTTCTAATAATTGGAATAACTAATTCCCAATTTTCTTTGTGCTAATTAGAATTGGTTAACTAAAAAGTAAAGATAAAAGCTGAACCAAAACCCTGCTGGCCAAATGGATCAAATTTTTTTCACTTAATCCATTAAAGTTTGATCTTATCTTTCATTTTTTACCCGATGGCGGTGTATCATATCTTTAATTTTATTCTCTAGATTTTATTTACATGCCAATATTCAGATTCTTTTAATTCTGCATAGGTCTCGAGGGGTGCCATGGGACATTATGGGGTATGGACTCTGAAATAATCTACTTCCTTTTCACCATCCCTCTAATAGTCTAGTCTCATTATACACAATGACTGTCGTTGACTAATGAAAAATTATGAATAATAACGATACACTAAGATTTTGATAAATCTATATGTTCACTGTGACTGATCATTTCTGAGTTGTTAAATTATTCTTAGCTCTTCTGTTTGTATATTTGATGCTGTTCTTTATTGAAATCTTGCTTGTTTAGGCTTTTATATGGTTGCTGTGGAAAGACAAATGCAGAATAGAGAAAAGATGATGGCTGAAGCACTGGCGGATGCAGGATCAAGTATAGATGCCAATGACAGAAGTTGAATATGGATTTGTGATAATGCTAGTACCTTGTCATTAGGTTACTTACTTCCTTTTCGTTCCTGGGGGTTTTTCTTATCTTTTGCCTGTCTGAATCATGCTTTAGAAACTGTTGTGTTGTAATAAGTACTCGCAATCCTTAAAAAGAAAAACCCATTGCTGGAACAAGAATTCTAGTTGGCAATGTGGGACTCTGGTACTTTAAGCATTTTCGCTTACTAAGTTTGAAACTAAATTAAATTAGTGGCTGCTAGTCTGCTACCATGAGAGCAGCAAAGAGGGGAACATCGGCTAATACATTCATAAAGGAGAAACGGTACTTATATTGAACTTTGTTTTGCATTTAGGCGTTTCTATTCAGATATATTTAGTGGTGTTAGTAAAAACCCGAAAAACCAAACCAAACCAAACCGAGCAAAAAAAATCGTTACTTTTTGGTTTGGTTTTAATCAGAAAAAAACCGAACCAAACCGACTATTGGAGTAGCTATTCCAAATTTATTATTGCACCTATATATATGTATATTGTTATACGAAGTTTCAAAAAATTTATGGTAAATATTAATAGTTTGCACTTTTAATATAGTTCTTTACGTTTACATTCTAGTTTGATTGGTAGTTTTCCTTTGTTTAGTGTAAGAATCCATTTCGTGTTAAAAATAACATATTTTTAATTGAGTCCTTAAATTATTCATCACTATTTGATTCAATTATCATCAATATATTTTGGTAAATAATAGATTTCTCAAAGGGCAATTGATTTTGATACTGCTACATTGAAAATGTGGTCGCTGGAATATGTGTTTGGTAGTGTATGCCTTATATTTAAGAAAAAACCGACAAATAACCGAAAAATCGAAAAATTGACATAAACCGAATCGAGAAAAACCGGTTCTAATGTTTGAAAAACCGACTTACTTGGTTTGGTTTCTTTTTAGCAAAAACCCGATCCAAACCGAATCATGAACACCCCTTCATATATTAGTGGAAGATACCCACGTTTCAGCGTGGAAAAGAATATTCTGTTTCTTTAATAAGTTCCTTGACATTTTCTACTAACTTCTTGATTTAATAAAATTATAAAATAAATTGTGTCGTCTAGACTAGCTTGGCTTCTTGATCTTTTTTCTTTCAAAATCTTTTCTGATGGTGATCAGAGTTAAGAGGCTGAGGAATCTCGTTTTTCAAATCAACAAGAATTGTATGTCTTGTGCTTGTTGATCATGAAAGAAAAAGGATCTAAAAGAAGAGCAAATATATATATATATGGGGAAGCGCACAACTAAAAAGTTAAATTACAAAATTACCCTTATAATATTATATATTTATATTTTTTAATAATAATTGAAAAATATTTTAAAATATTAAGTTATATTGTGTCTTTTCTTAATAGTTGTGTCCTTTTATTAGAAACTAATTTTTGAAAAAATTATCTGCCATTTCAAAAGAACTATTTCTTAAAAAATGATGCGTTGAATTGAAGTGTTGTGATCCTTCAGATTAGCAAAATAACTTTTCAAATGTGTTCCTTCACATCTCAAAATCAAGAGACCAGTTTTATTTAATTTAAATACCTTATTTATTTAAAAAATTTCAAACGCTTCATAGTTTCTTTCTAAAGTTGTTACCGCAAAAAATTACCATCGTTTAGTTCCTAAATTACATTAGAAAATCAATAGATGGGTTGTCCAATTAAAATTAGTGACAAAAGAAAATGGAAGCACAATAAAAGTTGACTCATGAAGCAATCAGTAAGTACCTTTTTATATATATTTTTTTATTTCAAGTTGTATTCTATAGGAAGAAGGTAATCATCTAATAGCTTAGATGATCTTCTCAATGATTTTTACCAGTGAAGAGTAACATAACCAAGAAGGAACCCAAACACACAAAGATTCAAAAGTCCTACTATACAATACAGGATAAGCAAAGCTTTATCCAAATATAACGGATATAAATATTTGATTCTATTTTGCACTATTATTTTGGCTATTAATTAATTTATTATTTTAAAAATACAGCTTCCAAAATAATTCCAAGTCCGTCAATTATTCTTGCACAATTTTGATTACGATTTGAATTATTTACGTTTTCTTGAATAACTTTTGAGAATTGAACTTGTTATACGAGATTAGGATGAGAATGAAATTTGTTTCGGATACCAGGCTAATATTTGAAATATGTAGAGAAATTTTAAATGGATGTTTGACTTGTAATGTACGTTGCTACTTCTACTGCGTGACTTTGTATCATAATACTACTCTTTCTTTTCTATTTTTCAAACCATAACTGCGAGCACGTGATTTTTGTTTACGCGACAATCACTCCAAAAGAAATAAAAATGGCAAATGGTCTTGCTGTACAAGTTTTGGATTTTACGTGGCATTCTTGTTAGTTATTTGTGATCTTGTTCGTTTTTATTTTTATCAAACAAAAAATACAAAAAATGTGTGTCGTGTATAGTTGGACCATAATCCGGTTATTAAAAGGAAAATCACAAAATATGCATCTTTTGTCCTATTTGTTGCCTTGGCGTTGATTTTACCTACTTTAAATATTTTAATATGTGTGTAATAATTACATTAAGTGTTAATTAATGGTGTTTAATTTTTATTTAATTAGGTTTTGTGTTTAAAAATTAAAAAAAATAAAAATAAAAGAAAGGGTGCAAATGGGTTTAAACTCGGATTGGGCCCATTTTTCTTTTAAAACCTGAGGCCCAAAAGCAGCCAGTCCGAACAGCCCATCTCCAGGCCACCAAAACGACGTAGTTTGACACCAAAACTACGTCGTTTCAATG